TGTGTGTGTGTGTGTGTGTGTGTGTGTGTGTGTGTGTGTGCCTTCCCAACTGTTAATATGGAAATCTAAGGCCAAAGGGAAGGAAAGGAGAATTCTGGGTGATCTTAGATGATGGATGCAGTAGGCTTCCCTTTCTCATCCTCCTTGTCTCTTGGGCCCACAGTGGCCTAAGATTCTAATCCCAATGTCTGGCTGTCTTTCAGCCACCTCTGCCTGGGTGTACTTTGGACTGAGTAGACCCCTCTAGAGAGGTACCCCTCTCCTTGCCAGCCAGCCCGTGTGCAATGTTGCCAAGACCCTCCTCTTCTTGCTCAGAGGCCTCTCCGAGTCCGTCTGACTCGTTGTTTCCACTCACCTCCTTTGCACCTGTCTGAGTTATTGAGAAGCTTCCAGGCCCACATCTGCTCCTCCCACCCCGCCTCTTCTGGTCTGTCACCTGCTAGCTGTGACACCTGGTCAAGTCACAAGTCCTGTCCACCCTCATCTAGGACTCCCAGGGGCTCTCTCCTGCACATCACCATCCAGACCACGTAACACAGCCATCAGGACCTCAGATCATCTCCCCACCCCCCACAGCCATCTGCAGCCTTCCCTCCAGGCACCTCTCCACACATGGCTCACATGACAGGGCATGAGAGGTGAAGTAAGTGACTATCCTCACCATTGGTTTTTCTGGTTTTATGTCCACCACATAACATTATTTCCTGTGTCATGTGTTCAGCCCGATAATGCATTCCTGCGTCTGCCTCTGAGGACCTTCTTCCTCAGTCATCTACCCAGACACACCATTGTTGCTCATCCTTCTGGGCTCAGGCGTCTCCCTTTCACACACTAGACGTTATGCTCACATGGAGAAGACAGGGCTATGGATTCTTCTGTGCTCATCCCCACCCCATATATGTCTAAGGGGGAAATGTATGTGTGTTCAAATTTATATAATCTGAAATATTCCAAAATCTGAACGTTTTTCGGGTGCCAGCACACCTGGAAAATTCCACACGTGGTGTACTTGATGAGTTGCAGTCAAGGCTGGTGTTCGAGAACTGTTGTGTAAAACTGCCTTCAGCTTAGGCATGGTGGCACATGCCAGTAATCCCAGCACTAAGGATTCTGCTCAGGCAAAGGATCCTTGTAAAGTTGAGGCCAGCCTCAGCTGCATAATGAGTTTATGTCCAGTCAGGGCTACCTAGCAATACTATCTATAATTACAAGTACCTTTAGGCTTTGTATCGATACTGTAAATGTATATGAGCCATTAAAGAAATTTAAGACTTGAGTCTCATTCCTAAGATGTCTTATTTATGTACATGGCAGCATTCCAAAATTTCAAGAAGTATATATAATATATATCTGAAATATTCTTTGTCCCAAGAATTTGGGGTAGGGGATATTTAGCTTGTATAAGTATGTATCTGTATACATATTCCTACATATATATGTGTTTTTACATTCCTTATCTTATGTGTTGGTTGTAGCTGTGTATGTAAGCACATGTGGCACTCTTAAAATCAAGAAGTAGGTCTTATTTATTTTTTCCAGGTTTCTCCCGCCCTGTCCAGCTGCCTCGAATTTCACCTAGCACTTAATCAATGTATATTAGATAAATGAATGAGTGGCTAATATAAAAATCTAGTAATTTCTTGGAAGCTAAACTGATTTGATCCTCAAACATCAATATTAATGAGTATTAATATTTAAAGGTTGTAAATGCTAGCTGAACACAGAATGGAAGGCTTTGGCACATGTCATCATGGAGAAGATGTGTTCCTCACTGAGCGTGTCTCCTGTGGTTGCAGCTGTCGGTCCCTCCAGCAAGATTTCTAATCAGGCTTAGAAGCTGAATGTCCTAGGCTAGGCTCTCGGAGCAAGGATGGAACGTGGCCACGGGGAGGGTTACTAAAGAACCTGACATCACATCTGTGTAGCTCCAGATCAGGCCTTGTGTACGAATAGGTCAGGCGACTTGAGATGTCCATCTTCATGTCACAGAGGCGAATCACACCAGCAACCATGCTCTTTGTGTGGACTTCAGTTTAGCCCTCCGCACGTGTAAGGCTGGACACATAGATTCCAAACCTATAGGCAGGGTGTCCAGGTCGGGAGAACCAGTGTGCGGCATAATGAATGTCATAGGAGCCCCAGGATAGACTAGTGTAGAGACAGGTCTGAATGACCCCTGTGACCTTAACTCCCCTCTCGTCTTCTGTCTTCCTTCCCCCGCCCCCCTGAAGCTGCTGCCCGTGCAGCCACAGCCCCCCCACCCCGGGCTCCCCGCCCCATAGTGCAACAGCTGTCTCCCCATCTTACCATCAGCTTTTCCCGCCGAGATCATCACTGTGGATTCAGGCGTCATCCTCTGGCATTTGACTGAACATTGCGCTCCTTCCCCCGACACGTGGCTTCTGTGTCCGGGTGTTCTCCAGGTGGTTCTCTCCTGCGCTGACACCTGCTGCTGTCTTCTCCTAAGGTTCTTCCCAGAATGGTTACCTTTCTGATTGCTGCAACCAAATAGCTGATGAGAAATAGCTTAAAGAGTTCCTCCTGGTTCACAGTTGGAGGGGACACAGCCCAGAATGGCAGGGAAGACACGGAGCAGGGAGCAGCTGATCAATTGTGTAACACAGTCAGGAAGCAGAGAGAGACTCGTCGTCCATCTCGGCTCTTCTTTCCTCCCACTTCCTGGGTGCCTCCACCCTTTCCTGCAGTTCCAACCATTGATGCTACCTACCACAATGGCTCTCACGTCACTCCAGAACAGCATTCTCCCCGAAACTGCCAAGCTCATCTTTAGCTGTCTTCTCCCAGCCACCTTGTGGCTGTCCCAACAGGCTGTTTTCCTTGTTCCTCCCCTCCAAAGTCATTCCATTCCCACTCCAATGGATGGACTGCTCACGTGCCTCCATCCACACAAGTCCTGGCCACTGTATTCTCATCTGTTGTGCATCAGATCCATCCCATCTCTCCACCGTCACGCAAGCTCTCATTAAGGAGCTTGGCTTAGGGTGCTGGGTAGGGTTAGCTCTCGCCATTATGCTCCAGCCACCTTGGCTTAGAACTTCTCATTTTTCTTAGCTTCTTTGGTTCCATCTTTTTCTCCTATACACCATTTCTTGCCTCAGTAGCTGAGATATTCCAGCTGGAGATATTCCAGATCTTTCTACATTTCACTAATCCACTCAACACTTAACCCATAGGGCATTTGTTACTTTCTTTCTAAACATTGTGGCTTTGAACCAATTTTTGACTCTGAGTCACAATGGTTGTACAAGGAGTTTCCATGTGTTGTTCACCTAAGCTCCCGTTACGTTCACAGCTGGCCCAACCATCACTCCCATACCAAAACTGAAAGAATGACCTTTAAAAGCTGGTTAGCCAAATTACAGGCTTCCTTTGGACACACTACTTTTTTGTTTAAAAATTGTTTAGATTTATTTATTTTTCATTTTATGTATGTGAGTATTTTGCCTATGTGTATGAATGTATACCATATTGCATGTCTGGTGCCTGGGGATGCCGGGAGAGGGCATTGTATCTCTTTGAGCTGAAGTTAGGGTAGTTGTGAGCCAATGTGTAGGTCCTAGGAACTGAACCCAAGTCCTCTGCAAGAACAAGTGCTCTTAGCTGCTGAGCATCACTCCAGGCCCTAAGGGTGTACTGCTTTTTAACATGATGCTCAGTTTCAGCATCGCAGCTCAAACACTGCTTTACCTGGCCAGTCTCCTTTGCTCTTGAGTCCACAGCGGTTCCCCATCTTTCCTTGTCTTTCACGAGGTCGTGCTTCTGAAGAATACCAATAGGCTGACCCTTAGTGTAAGTAACCCCTAGTGCAGGTGGCCCCTAGTGCAAGTCACCCCTAGTACAGGTCACCCCTAGTGCAGGTGGCCCCCAGTGCAGGTGACCCCAAGTACACTAAAAACACAGTCCATGGAAACTGACTTTATCCATTGAAAGGACAAAGTTGATCAGATTTAAAAACAAAACAAATGTTAGAAGCAAACAAAATTCCTGGGTAAAGTGGCACACTGTAATACCTGCATTTGGGGAGTAGAAGAGGAAGATCAAGAGTTGAAGGTCATCTTCAGCTACATAGTGAGTTCAGAGTCATCCTGGGCTCCTAAGACCTTGTCTCAAAATG